TTGAAGTGGCCGATGTGACAACTATGAGTTCCTACGTCGTTTTTTTGTTTTGTGAATCGACTAACGCAAAAAGTTCTCTTACGCAAAAAACTTTCGTTAGTGAGTTTGTGAATACGGCCCGTGATACCTAAATTTTATGAAGCACTTATTTTGTGCGCAACCACCACTATGTGAATGCATACTCACCAAGAGATCTTGTCGAAGACCAAAGAGATGTACAATCGTGGCCGTACCTGCGACGTTCATATACTACATCCAGCCGTGGTGATGTAGCAATTTAGCAAATTTTGCGGTGGATAAATGGGCATGTGTGTGAAAAAAATCGAAGTGACAGGAAATTCTGGTGCCAGAAAAGTACAGACGAAGTGGAATCACAGAATGGGTGCGTCACCGACGAGGTGAACATGACATAAAAGACCAGCTATCATCTGCTTGTAAAAAAGCCCGGGCACTCTGCGGCATTATATATTGCGCTTACCATATGTGGAATTGGGGCAGATATCGAGGTACAGAAATGAACATGAGGGTAAAAAAGCGAAGGGTCAGAAAATTCTGGCGCCAGGAGTTTTCAACTTTAGTGCAATTACAGACGTAGGTGCGTCATCAGGAAGTGAATATGAGCAAAAACTCAGTTACGACCTCCTAGTGAAATAGGATGCTCTGCGGCAACATACGTTGCGTTTGTCCTTTTAGTTCTGTAGCAATGAGCCCGGTTTCAATGGCAGCCTGAACCATGCAATTGGAAGTTTACTTAAATATAAAATTACTTTTTATAACGCAATCGCCCAGAGATTTTGGCTAAGATGTAGCACATAAAAAAGCTACCATGTAAAATCTACTGGCGTTTGAAGAGAACTTATAAGAAACGTGTTTTATTAAAAGTATGCGAACTTGTATCCGTGTACCAAAGAAGTTATCGTACGCGTAGTCGGATGTATCAAGTTAAAACCAGGAACTACAGTGTCCCAAAGTGTACAAGAGAGAGAGAGAGAGAGAAATAAATTTATTGGGTTGAAAAAGAAGGGGTTTAGGAGCTAAATGGGTGGGGCCACATGTTCAAGGCTCTACTGGCTTGCGCCGCCTGCCGGATGTGGTCCAGGAGTGCTAGTTGCACCTCCGGGTTCGAGCTAGCGAGGAGTGCTTCCCATTGCTCCAAAGAGTTTTCGATTCTATACATACGCTGTAAGCGATCAAGTTCACTAGGCCGTTTAGCACAACTCCACGAGATATGGTCAAGGGTCGGTGGCGAGTCGCGACACCACGGACAATCGCGCCCATACAAAGTTGGATGAATTTTGTTCAGTCAAAATAAATTTCGATAAACTCCCGTTTGAATTTAACGGAGGTCTATGGCGTCTTCCCCTTTAAGAGATTTGGGAGGGGGGCGCCATATTTCTGCCGCGTGCATCGGTGGTGAGCAAGAAGCTCTCGCGGAGCCATCCGAGCCGGGTCGTTTTCCTCCTCCTCGCGAAAGCCGTCGTTGCTGGGTGGTGGTAACAGCGAGAAAGGCTGCTGCTCTGCTCGGTTTGTGAGCGCTCGAGCTAGAGCGTCCACCCTCTCGTTACCCTCTAGGCCTGCATGTCCAGGGCACCAGACCAACCTATAAGTGTTGCTCGATTCGCCGCCTAAAAATTTACAAATGTTTAATGGGAGGCGGCCTTTCGTGAATAGCCGGCACGCCTCTTGTGAATCTGAGAGTATGGTGATGTACGTCAGGCCGTCTCTGCGCTCTAAACTTTTAATCGCCAATGCGATGGCGAAACACTTGGCTTTGGTGATCGATGTATTGTACAGTGATGCGCTGGACGCTATGCTTCTCGTGTCACTGCTTACCACTGTAACGACGCAGCGCTTCCAGTTATACCTGGAAGCGGTAACGTATAGCACGTTCTCATTGCCTCAGACTAATTTTTTGATCCATTTTACACGCTCCTCTCGCCTTTTGTGATGCCGCTTCATGGTCATGTTCCTGGGGATAGGGGCGATCGAAATATGTCGTCGGACTGGGTTCGGTACGTCCACCAGCTCCTCGTCCAAGTTTTGGGGTTGCGGCGTTATACCCGCCCTCATCAGTATCTTACCTCCCGACTTCGTCTGGCTGAGGCGGTTGCGCTGAGAGATCAATGTTGCTGTTTTCTGTTCAGCGTACGTGTTATGCAGGCCGATCTCGAGAAGCCTATGTGTCGGAGTGCTTATCAGTAAGCCTAATGTTGCCTTGTAAGCCCCTCTGATGAAAGAATCTACTTGCTCTTCTTCGCTCTTGTTCAGCGTGTGGAAAGTCAAGCTGTATATCAATTTGCTCATTACGAGTGCCTGCACTAAGCAGACAGTGTCACTTTCTTTCATGCCTTTTTTGTGGAAGGTGATCCTCTGAGTCATCCTAGCCACTTGTTTAGTTGCCGATTTAAGAAGACCGATAGTGTGATTTGCCCTACCGTTGCTTTGAACCCAGAAACCCAGGATCCTGGAGACGGTGACTTCTTTAATTTGCTGCTTTTCGATTTCAATTTCTATTCTTCCGTTACTTTTGTAGCGTTTGCCGCGTATTCTGATCACCTCCGATTTTCCGGGTGCGCAGTGGAGGCCACTGGTTCTGGCAAAGTTTTCGACAGCCAGTGCCGCCTCTTGAAGCGTCTGCTCTTTGCTGGCCCGGGATGCCCGTGTGGCCCACAGAGTAATGTTGTCCACGTAGAGGGTATAACCTAGCTGTGGTACAAAAATCAAGGCCCGAGCGAGTCGACGAATGGTGATATTAAACAACAGAGGAGATAATATGGCTCCTTGAGGCGTTTCCTTGTTTGGCATTCGGAATGGCTCACACCTAACGCTTGAGATACATATTGTCGCCTCCCGATTGGTGAGAAAATCTTTTATATAGTTTTATAACTTTTCCCCGCAACCAATTATATTTAGCTCTGAGAGTAAAGTGTATAGCTTATCTCAGTAGTCATTTCAGCAGCAAGACCACTGAAAGCTGGTCCGAATGGCAGAAGGTAGTGCAGAAGAATGGTCGAGGCAATAAATGTTACTTGAACTTGTTTTACCACTTAATCAGCGTCAAAAGTGGGGTACATTAGGTTCAATAACTCAGTGAAAAACATTTATTTTCAAAATCAATCAATGAAATCAACTGTGTTTTTGCCAAAAAAGCAAGACAAAACACACATTCCGTGAAAAGAGGTGGCTGGAAAAAGAGTTGTAATATGACTTTTGGCAAAGCTCGCCGACGCATCAAAGGTAACTGGTTCGATCACTTTGTGGTATAAGTGCAGAGATGAAAGAAAAATGAATGAGTCACAAAATGAATATTGTGAAGATCTGCCAGAAGTTACACATTCTTACTGTTAATTAGTAGCACTGAACTACCATTACAAATTTTCTCCAAATAATTTACATTCGGCTGCGAAAAAGTGTCAATGCACATAGGAAACACGCACATGCTCTGCTACAATAGCAGTAGAAAAATAACAATGTCGAAAAATTTTGGCCTCCAAATAACCATGTTCGGTCACTTAATTTGATGTGTATGTTACTTGGGTATTTTCACTACACCAGTGAGTGTCCTGAAGTGACGTGGAATATTACTTGGTTGATTATTTACGCCAGAGTCCCAGTTTAAGGTAGCTGCAATACCTATTGAACATACCGCATAATAAACGTTGTGTGCCTGGGCATATAAGTTCTAAACTCATATCCAGCACAGTGAGTTCTGTGTTTTTATATAGCGCTATAGTACATTTTACTTGTAAATGATGTGAAGTAATCATGTTTTGCTTCTCTTTTTACAATCCAAGTTGTTACCCTCTGCGGACATGCCTCTCCCAAAGGAAATAAACGCGCAAAGACAATGGTTCTCAAGTTCACATACTCTCAGATACTTGAAAATATGTTCAGTTCAGTGAACTTACTAAAAAAACGAATAAAAAATCCTGAAATTCTATATTATTATACAATCAAGTTGTGTTTTTTATCACTTCAGCAATCGCTCAACTGACATCAAGCTACTGCGTGAACAGCAAATTAAGGCTGATTCATTCCCACATCTTTAATCAACTTCAGCTTTCAAGAGAGCCCATGTCCTGGCCGTCGAGTTTCACATACCGCTATTGTCGTAGAAGCGGCCTTCGATGAGCCCCCTTAGGAAGATTTTCTGTTCTCATTCCTGTTTAATACTTGAATACGCTGCCTGGCGCTTTATTTTGCGAGAATTCGAGTTTTTAAAAACGTTTTACAAACGCCATATCCGCAGTTTCCTTGAATCAGTGCAAGACGAATAATGGAAGCGTACCAAAATGAGGCTGTTATGTCTTTATGGGTAGAACTTTTTCTCTATATTCTCTTAAGTTAGCTCAATGGAATGAAGGTAGAATAAAAGGTTTATCATATAGTCTGTGCGAGTAAATCGGCCAGCGGGATAGCGGGAAACAAAATGGCAGAAATCCTAGCTCCCCCCCCACCCCACCCCATCACATGTATAGGGAGCTTTCTCGGGCTGGTGTGCTTGCTTCACACTCAAAACTTCAAGGAAGCCTAGCAGTATCATCCGGTCACTTTGAGGGTCAAACTGGGCTTTGGCTGCAATTTCTTAGTACCTTTAGAGTACCGTCTTCGACATCGTCACTTCTCTACTGGTACCTACAATTCACAAACAAAGCTACGTACAAGAAGAGGCATATGAAATTAAACAACTTACCAACTCCCAAATATCAGTGCGCCACAATTTCGGGACTCGTCGATGTTAACTTGAGGAGCACAGCAGCTATAAATGTTACCAAATTCTTGTGATACTGTGTATGTTTTATATAAGGCTGTTGCTTTATTATTGTTGGTCACATAACAGTATGATAGTGATTTGTAGAACTATACCATGACCACAGCTTATTCATAATAGAAAATTAACACGTTATTAGAGAAAAGAAACAGATAATCAGCGTTCCGTTGGGCGTTTTATTGCAAATAAATTACGACCGATTGGCTGGCCCCAATGGTCAGCGATCTAGTCATTTCCAGCAGTCGTTTATTTCTTTCGCATGCCAATGGAGTTAATGCCGCCGATGGCGCCGCCGAGAGCTGCAGCTTCGCTGGGCAGCATGATAATCACAGCTGAAAATGAAAATTAAAATTGATAACCACAGCTGAAAATAAAAAAGCAAGCAGTTCCCATTTTATTGAAAAATCTTGGTAGACCAATGAAATGTGTAAATATGGTACAACTCGCTCTGAAAGAGGTTTCTGACGGTCGTGAGTTCCATGCTGGTTGTCGCTGCAGGATACTCATAGGGGCTTAACCCAGCAAGCCTGTGTGCTAAGTGATAACAATGCACGCTAAACATCACAACATTAAGCAGTGTGTATGTTTGGGTAGTCATTTATTTGTTCAGCCTAACACGGCAGGTGCGCGTGCTGGCATTGACGATATACCAAATCGCATTGTTTTGATGTTGGTGAGTCGGGAGGTGCACTCTTGGTGAATTTTGTGGTATTTCCATCTAGTTTTTCATTCGCTTTGAATCAGAACCAACCCGGCCTTATGTATTTTATTCTCATACAGTAGTGGACGTCACAAGCGTTGTTCTTGCATAAAAAGCGCGGGCCTACGCATCAAGAGCAACATGGTCAAAGCGAAAGCTGGAAGAATGACATTACTAGAACTACTTGCAAGCACTATTGGGGCTACTAAATGAAGTACGTTTGCACTGTACCCACTATATACTCCATAAAATGATGCGGTGGCTGATTACCACGAAGAATTACGGCTGAGTATTTTGTAAAATTGAAAGCATCAACGAACCTCTTGGTATGGGATTTGTATTTTCTCACCTGATTGTTTTACATTTTCACCACGTGATACTGGGTACGTTAGCGTGGTTCCATCCCGAAACAAAGCTTGTTTGTTTGTTTTTTTTGTGAAAAAGTTTCGAATGCCTGCATGGCTCTGTGATAATGTACTTCATTCGCATGGAGATTGCATCGATTAGAACCCCATTGTATGACGCATTTTGTTTCCTTCGTATTTTTCTTTCTTTCGTATTTCGCGCAGTATACCGTTTACAAACATCGACTATGGCACGATAATAGTTACGAACACCGACGGCGGGTAACTGTGGTGCCCTTCTTCTGAGCTGTATATTTGTGAAATTAGAGCCACCGAATCTTGACGCAACTCAGTGCCTCATTAAAGCGAGCATTCTATTAAACCTCAAGCAAAGGTAAGACTAAAGGTACGTGTGCGTGGCATCAATTACTAAAAACTTAGGCAGACACATTCGTCATTTACCAACCACAGTGTGGCAGCGGTTGCGGTGAATGATTGCGATCCTGAACTACGCGGGGCAGTCGCGCCGGTGGCGGCAGCATTTTCAATGCAGGTGAAAATTCTACACCCGTAATGTTAGATTTTTGAACAGGTTAAGGAACACCAAGTGGGAGATATTTACGGAGTCTTCTTTTGATAATGCCTCATAATTATAGCGTAGTTTTTCCACGTCAAACGCAAGCTATGATGGTGAAGTGTTACAGTTAATCATATCCCCGGTAGACAATAAATCGTATATTGCATGAGATACGATTCCCCGAGAATATGGCTTCCTTAAGTGCCTCCTAATAGATGAAGAACTCGGTAAGAGCCACTTGTAATAAACTCTCGACATACCTGCCTTTAGAAATGCTTCCTCCATTAGCACATTGTTTACTATAGCATGGTTTATGGGTGACGCAATGATAGCAATGATGGCCTGAGTTCAAAGATCGCTTCGTTGAGATTAACCACGAGACTACAAATTGGGATGAACACAGACGGGTGGGTCAAGAGACACTCGTACTGCTTCTCACGGTGGTACACTCGTGGTATCCGGTTGAAAGCGTTTCTTGTGCTCTAATAGCTCTCTACTGTTGAATTCTGGTTCTATGTACAGCGATTGCTTAAGTCTGAGGGCCCAAGCACTGGACTAGCAGACATTTCGCTCAACAAAATAAGGTATCCCATCTTAAATGCGAAGCATTTCTTTGTGTAATGCAAGCAATTGTTCTATCTATCTATCTATCTATCTATCTATCTATCTATCTATCTATCTATCTATCTATCTATCTATCTATCTATCTATCTATCTATCTATCTGTCTATCTATCTATTTATCTAACAATCTAGCCGCTTACGACTGGGCGCTCTCATGATCACCATCTTGACTGATTGATTGAATGATATGTGGGGTTTAACGTCCCAAAACCACCATATGATTATGAGAGACGCCGTAGTGGAGGGCTCCGGAAATTTCGACCACCCGGGGTTCTTTAACGTGCACCCAAATCTGAGTACACGGGCCTACAACATTTCCGCCTCCATCGGAAATGCAGCTGCCGCAGCCCTCTTAACTGGGCGGGAACCGAAATAACATGAAGGGTACCAAGGTTTGACGAACAATACGCAGAGGTCAAGACATGAATAATGTCACTATCTCCTCGCACACGTCGTAAAAACCTCCCTTCAAATAGTGCCACATACCCGAGGGCGAGTGTGTGCCACAGGTATGCGGGCATATGCCACAGGTGATAGAAACTTAGTATCTACCCAGATGCTTCAAGAACACACAAGGGTAGTTTTAACGCGTAAGTGTTAAGAAAAAACTGTCTTCGGTAACGTTGACCCAACGAACGCACAGAATAAATATCATGGTCCGAGCAGAAATTGAATCCCAGCAACCTGCGTGTCGATCAAATATCCTACCACAGAGCAACGCCAAGTCTCGGACTTACTTTTCAATAGACTCTGATGCTCGTGAAACGGCGAATGTGGTTGCAGTACTTGCTATCAAATTTGATTATTACTACATATGTACACCTACCATACAGCTACGACGTCGAGCGAACACCGATTGTACTTAGGTGACACTCACTGAAGTTGATTCATGTAGCAGCGTCCATAGCTAATATCGTCGTGAGCCCCAGCGCTTCATATAAGCTCATCGCTTCTTGTGTTGCTAATATACATGATGTTACTGTTGGTAGTTTGGCGCAAGATGAAACAACAGGTTTTTAAGAATCTGCAGTTTTTCAACAAGTGGATGTGCGTGCAACATTTGTACATATATTTAGTCTCACTTTCCATAACGTGTCGCTCAAAAAAAGATATTCAACATGATCACGTGCCCTCCGCATGCTTAGCATAACCTCGATTCACCAAAAACGTGAGATCTGCCTTTTTTTTTTGCAAACTATGTTTCCGGCCTTTTGAGAAACTCCCACAGGTGTAATACGTTGTAGGCTTTAGAGTCAGCAAAGTATTGCGCACCCAAAGGGACGGCAACAGCAAGAAGCAGGTACATTCCAAAGAACTGATCCATCCTGCAGTTTTTTCTGTGGAGAAAAAACGTATGACATAATTATGTTAGCACTACAATGACAGCAATTCAGTGATTTAGCTGCGCAATATTTTTGTTTATAATTTCGCAAGAGACTTCGATTTATTAACGTTCCTACGTGAATTTCGAAGCGAACCTAGAAAACATATCTAGAAAATCCTTTGATTGTACCTGGTGGTTGTGATTTATTCATTTCATATCAATTAGTGATTTCTCTTCAAAGCCGATGGATTTGCAGAGACAGTGTGCGGAAATGTAAATAGGATGGCAGTAGAAACCATAAAGTAGGACATTATTCAGCACATTTCTAACGTGTTAATTTTAACGAAGGGGTACTTGGTGTGGTAGAAGAAATATTGTTCTTCATTCATTGTTACTCAGCTGCGGGAGGCTGCTTCCATTGGATTGACGGTTGCGGTACTAAATATATGAATCATTTTCCAGATTTACAAATTTCATTGTCTACCTTATAGAGATCATCAGCGAAATCAGACATATTTTTTGTTTTTAAAGTAGAATACCGTGAAGAATTCTAGGGTGGTACAGTTTACCAAAATTTTCAAATGGCAGAAGCTTTGACGCGCGTTTAGTGTCGGCGGAAAAATGATTGCGTTCTTGACTGTTAAGCTGGCAGTGCTATTAAGGTAAAGCGATTCAGGTTATCTCAAAGAAGATAACGCACAGCGACTATATTTTGTTTCAGTTAACACAATACGTGTGCCCCACCGCAGTGGCCTAGTGGCTAAGGTACTCGGCTGCGGACCCGCAGGTCGCGGGATCGAATCCCGGCTGCGGCGGCTGCATTTCTGATGGAGGCGGAAATGTTGTAGGTCCGTGTGCTCAGATTTGGGTTCACGTTAAAGAACCCCAGGTGGACGAAATTTCCGCAGCCCTCCACTACGGCGTCTCTCATAATCATAGCGTGGTTTTAGGACGTTAAACCCCACAAATCAATCAATCAACCCATTACGGACGGTACACACTGGACCGACACATGATCTTTCTGTTCCAGGCGGTTATTTTCTAAAATATAAGAATGCGCCTGTTCGATACAAGATTCAAGTCGAATTGAAAAGTACTTATTTCCCTTTAGGGAAATAAAGTTTTTTTTTCATTCCATTTCATTCCCTTTTCGTATTAGCTTCAAGAAATAGTGCACCATCATCAGCAAAATATTGATTGATTGATTTTTTGGGTTTACCATCCCAAAACCACCATATGATTAGGAGAGACGCCGTAGTGGAGGGCTCCAGCAATTTCGACCACCTGGGGTTCTAAAACGTGCACCGAAATCTGAGTAGGCGGATTTACAACATTTCCACCTCCACCGGAATTGCAGCCGCCAAGGCCGGGATTTGACCCCGTGACTTGCGGGTCAGTGGTGGAGTACCTTAGCCACTAGGCCACCATGGCAGGGCTCATCGGCAAAAAAAAAAAGATGTAGGCGAAAGAACACCAGAAGGTCCTTGAACTAAAGATAAATATAGAAGGACTCCACAGATTTCCATGAAAAACCGGAATCTACATCACTAAATATTGAAATGAAAGTGCTCATGTGCATCTTCAACTATGCGTTGGAAAAGGGCAAAAAAATTACCATGACCGGTTGATTGTTTATCACGAATATCGTGGATGTTATGTAAAAGTTTTGTAGTGCAACATTTGACTTGTACACGGACGACAAGAATATGAAAGAATGGGTGCAGCTCTTCTTAATGTCATTCAATCACAAAGGCTTGTTTCACATAGCTATGGATTCTCGGAACCCATGAAGACGAAAAAGTGACTTCTCTTCCAGACAACTAAAATACTTCGAATATTGCATGTTCAAAAAGTTCTTGGCATTCCTATCAATATGAACCCGGCCATAATATAGGGCGAGACGCTTTAATGCTTTGCTCTATCAGCTAAACCACCTGTCCCATCTTCAGGTCTGCATGAAGGCTAATGGTTTGTTGAGATGTATTAAAAATATGGCCTGATATACGGTAGCTATCGCCTGGAGTATTTCTTGAAGATATAAGTAGTGAATAATAAATATAATCAGCTGTACTCTACTGAATCAATTATCAACGATAGGCGAGATTTAAACACTCATTTGCAAAACAGCGAAAAAGTACTTGTCAGCACACGAAGCTAACAACATAATGACTTCTTCGAAACAAGTTTTCGTAAACTGTAACCTAATGTTCGCAAAATACTTAAAGAGCTCTTATTTACACAGACATTTGCATGAAGTTGTTCACTCACCACAGCTTTTGTTGAGCGGCCTCAGAGAGTATAAGTAGATAGTGCAAGGTATGTGCTCTTGTGGTTAATATATAGGGCCAATTTTTTTCACTTATGTCAATAAAGTCAGTACCAGGAACAAATCAGGCATTTCTGTGAAAGCACATATTAATAAGTATTTCAATTGAAAGTCCTCAAACCAAATTCAAAAAGACAAACTGTTCATCACTCGCGGAAAATCGCTCCAGGTTCATTAACGAAGACTATAATGGCAGCAATCATTTTAGATGCGGAAGCATCTTATACTCGCGCCTTGTAGTGCGCCGTCCGCGCCGTCCGCACCGCTTCTCGAACATTCGACAGCTGACGCGCGCGCATGCGCCGTCGCGCCATCGCCCACCATCTGTGCCGCGCGCGCTTCTCCTTCGAGAACATTCGACAGCTGACAGCGCATGCGCCGTCGCGCCGTCGCCATCTGTGCCGCGCGCGCGCTTCTCCTTCGAGAACATTCGACAGCTGACAGCGCATGCGCCGTCGCGCTGTATATATACTCAAAGTCGGCGTTCGCTCGCTCAGTTGCCGCTCGTCCGTTGGTTTGTACGGCGCGTCGACGTCCGAAGTCGCCATGAAATGAATGCCAACAAATCCACAAACAGAATGATCGACGTACTTCGACCAGCGCCGGCCAAACTGTTGGCGGAACCGCAAGCAAGTCGTCGTCGTCGTCGTCGTCCGAAGACACGGCAGCGCAGAGAAGAGCTCGCGACGCCGAACGTAAACGTCGGCGTCGAGCGGAAGATTCTCAACTTAGAGAACGTGAAGCCGCTGCCGAATCCTCCTCAGTGTTCCCCCGAGGGAAGCTGCGGGCAATTTTTTAATTACGTGTTCACTTCCACCACCCCCTCGTGCAATACATTCGAAAAGCCCACGACTACCTCCCACCATACCTTTTTTTGCAAGGCCACTGATAAAAAGGCTTCTTTCAGGATACCAATTTCAAGTCTTGTTTTCTGTTACCTGCATAATGTGTTTCAAGTTTGGTAAATTCAACTTGTTTATTATAAACTATCACGAAAACACGCAATGCCAGTAATAAATCTGAACTTGGGGCTGCTCTGGGAAAACCACAAATTGTTGACTGCAGGCGTAACCTAATACATTTACTGTAATTTTATTGCAAACCTTGAAACTACTACACAGAATTGAGATTCTAATAGGCACAACAGTGCCAATTAACCGTTTTGGCAGAATTGAGACTGACACTACCTCAGCACCACACTGAAAAATCCCGTATGTTTTCCTTTATTCGCATGCGTCTGCATGTGTTTCGGTCTAACTTCGTACTGGAACACCGACACATGTACAATAAATGAGCGCATTACACAGACAAGCCACTGCGGGTCAACGCGGGTCTTCTACTGGGCTTCTCCTTGATTTGTCTCCGCTCTTGAACGAGTGTTGTATGCGCAATATTTCAATTGGAATGGTTGCTCAAACTTGAATACTTCTAGCTATTGACGCCCTAGCAAAGTTTTAGTAAGTTTATAAGATTCACTGTGCAATACAGTAACCCATCGTCATAGCGAGCATGTAAAGATTGCATATTATGCCAAATATCTGATAACGCAAAATTATATAATGAGAAAAATATTCGGACAGGATGTCTAGGTACACATATTTTGCTTTAGGTTATTTCAAACTAGTTATTGGGTCAAAAAAAGAAGTCTGACAGCTTTTGTTATTGAAACATTGAGCTCTATAGCTTGAAGAAGGTGCCAAAATTTTAACACATCGTAATGCCAATCTAAACAGCCACAAAATGAACGAAGATAAATCGAGGCATTGATTAAAGAACCAAAGCTTGAAAGCGATATGCATGACCTTACTACGGCATATAAATACTCAATTATAGTGTTTGCGCAACGTAAATAATTTGATTATCTTTACTAAGGAGAAATCATGTAGGCTCATCATCAAGAGG